AAAAAAAAAAAAAAAGATTAGGTTGGATGAAGTTATTAGTAAATGCTCCCTGGAGCTTTGAATTTCTGATTTCTGTGGATGTATCTGACCCAAGGGCCCTCTGGTCAACTAGATGGCATGAAAAGGAATCTAGAGCTTTGGAATGAACAGTGACAGCCTCTCTGGAATCAGGGTGACCTCCAAACATGTATGACCCCCACCCTGCCTACATAATTGCCTTTCTCCAGTCCTGTACTCCATGAATTCTAGCATTTTTGGGGGTACTGGGGGTTGAACTTTGACATTACCAACACTAACTTCATCTCCTGAAGGAACAGCAAGAACTCTGTTGGGTTGCTCTTTTTATAATGTGACCTTAAATTTCCAGTAAGTTTCGTGTTATCATTAGGCCCTTCTTTATTTTCCTTCTGTGTAGGTACTATTCTCCAGTTTCTGAATATTGCTCTTTTACATATTTTTGTTCATTTTTCTAAGGGATTTAAGGTAGAAGGGCAATCCTGGTCCCTGATAGCCTAACATACATGAAAGCAGAAATCTCTGGGCCCAATTATAGACCAAGGAAACACAGGTTCCACAAAACCAAATTTCTTAAGAATCAAATATAGTATAAATTTTTCTCATGAATTTTGGGAAAAGCAGAGGACACACAGTTACATTGCACAATATCGAGGAAAACCATTTACAAATTTCTAAGCACCATTGGCTGTTGTTTCAGTCTTTGGGCTCCATTAGTACCAATATAGTTTCTCTTGTTATTGATGTTTTATTTGATTATCTCTTTTTACCTTAAAAGAACTTCCTCTATCCGAGTACAGAAACAAGGCCCAGACTGCTTCTGAAAGTGCTGTTTGATCTGGAACAAAAATAGAGAGAGGGACTCATAGGCTGTCCTCTTTGAAGGCAAAATGATGCTTGAAGCCGGCTTCCCACAGCAACAGATGATCATCTGTATGGTCAGTGGCCAGCTGTGCACCTTTCTTGCCAGTAGTCTTTGACCTGGCCAGCTCTGTCTTGGCTGGGATTAAATGGATGGTTGCCTCATTAAAAAGCTTAGATGGGACCACTTATTAAGATATGCTTCCTTGCTTGTTTGTATTTTACAAACTAGAAAGTATGTTCTGACTTCAGCAGTGGTCATATGTTGCTTGCATATCTAGCCCAATGGGCCTAACATAAGTTTTGTCATAAAGGCACAGAAACTTGGTTGCATAATACCTACAATATTTGTATTGATGAATTATTGATTTTAATTTTATGAGTTTTATTACATTAAACAATGGGTATTTAACAAGAAAAAAAACAAAAAAGTATCAAATGCTTAGTATTTATTGAGTGTACATAAAAAAGCATCAAAATTTTCAATATCAACTGTTGGTGTACAAAGTCTAAAAAATAACAACAGAATTAAAAAAAGAGATTATCACACCTAAAGCATTCTTCACAAATGACAATAGCACATTCCATACACATGAATCACTTACACTGATAGCACAGGTATTTTGCTTTTCTGGCCTTTTTGTCTTTTTTTTTTTTTTTTTTTTTTTTTTTTTTTTTTTTTTGTACTGGGGATCAAACTCCGGTCCTTGTGCTTGGGAGGCAGGCGGCGGAATCACTGAGCTAAATCCCCGGCCCTTTTCTGGCCTTTTTGTAGGACATACTTGACATCTTGCTTGTCTTGCTGTTTTGTCAGGTGGTTCTTATTATATTACACAATGTGTAATTAATAGGAACATAAAATATCAATAAAGTATAAAATTCTTAATGTGTTAGAATGAGCATCAACATTTTCATATCAGCTGTGTTCTTGCTTTCAAAACCTAAAAGATAAGATCAGAAATAAATTCCTATATGAACTACAATGAAAATACCAATACAAATCTACAACAAAAATAATCTTTGCTTCAATTGCCACACTCAAGGTAGTCCTCACACATGACAACTGCATGTTCCATGCACACATCTCACTTACAATGACAGCACAGGTGCTTAGCTTTCCTTTCCCATGTGGCAGGCCATTCTTGTAAACTCTCTTCTGTTTTGTCAGAAGATTCCTACTATATTGTACAATATGCACTTAGTAGGAAAATAATATACCAATAAAATAAAATATCAGATATGTAAAGAGTGCTTAAAATAGACATCAGCATTTTCATGTCAGCTGTTTCCTTGCTTACAAAACCTAAAAGATAACACCAGAAATAAAAACCTATGTGAACTGCAATGTAAATACAAAAATAAAAAAATACTACCTCTATTATTTTTCTGGCTAAATTTACTCTTCCCATTATCTGAACTTTATTAGATTCCATAGCTTAGCCTGTGAGAGAAAAAACAATAGCAACAGCAACTTACCTTTGTATTGCACTTTCTTTTCTCTATGAGACATTTTATCATACATTGCATCATCTAATAATTAATAGATTATTTTTAGAGAAGTTTTAAATTTACAGAAAAATTGAGCAGGAGTATTCTAAGCTCCTGTCAACCCACTGTCCTTATCCAGTTTCCTTTAATATTGACATTCAGCATTGATGTGGTATATTTGCTATGATTCATGAACCAGTGTCGATGTATTATTAGCCAAAGCCCATAGGATTCACATCTTCTGCAGAAGTTTGATAAATGTAATATATCCAGCATTCCAGTACCATACACAGTAGTTTATCTGCTCTAAAAATTTCTTGTGTTCTACCTGTTTACTTGTCTGACACCCAGCTGCCATTCCTGGCAACTATTAGTCTTTTCACTGTAAAATTTTGATATTTGAGGAGTGTCATGTTTGGAGCTATACAGACTTCTTTTTCTTAATCATACATGTTTAAATTTTTCTGACTTTTGATAATTTGATAGCTCATTTGTTTTGTGGTTGTGCTGTTGAATTTGATTTGCTAGCATTTTATTGGAGATTTTTGCATCTATACTCATCAGAAATATATGCATGTACATTTATTTTGTAATGAATTCATCTGGCTTTGATACCAGTTTCAGGCTGACCTCCAGAAACAGTTTGGAAGTATTGTGACCTCTTAAATATTTTGGAAGAGCTTGAGAAAGATTGTATTTGTTCTTTAAGTATTCGGTAGAATTAGGCTGAAAAGGTATCAAGTCCTTGATTTTCTTTCATTAGAGATTTTATTACTTCAATCTACTTGCTTGCTGGTCTTTTCAGATTTCCTGTTTCTACATGTTTGAGCCTTGGTAGATTACATATGTCTAGGAATTAGCAATTCCTTTCAGGTTGTTAAAAAATTTTTTAACTGTTCCTTTTCCCTCTCCTTTTTTTTTTTGTTTTTGTTTTTGTTTTTGTTTTTGTTTCAGGGATTGAACTTGGGTCCTTGCACTTGCAAGGCAGGCCACCGAACCACTGAGCTAAATCCCCAGCCCTCTCTTTTTTTATTTATTTAGTTTTTGAGACAATATCTCACTGTGCAGTTCAGGTTGACCTTGAACAATTTACTATGTATCCAAAGCTGGTCTTAAACTTGGGGCAAACCTTTGCCTCCCCAATGTTGGGATTACAGGCATGTGCCACCTCACCCAGATCAAATTATAACATTTTCAGGCATATTATTGACTATTGTAGTCTCTTATGAGCCTAGGTATTTTTGTGGTATCAGTTATAACATTGCCTTTCTTTTCTGATGAGATTCAAATCCTCTGTTTTATTCCTAGTTAGCCTAGCTAACATTTTGTTAATTTTATCTTTTCAAAAACAAATCAGCTTTGTTGCTCTTTACTATTTTTCTATTTTCTACATCATTTATTTCTTCTGGTCTTTTATTTCCTTCCTCCTACCAACTTTGGGCTTAGTTTATTCTTTTTGTTTTTCTTTTAAAATATAAATTTAGATGATTTGAGATCTTTCTTGTTTCTTATGGTAAGCATCTATAAGAGACATTATTGAAAAACCTGGCCATGGGTTTCAATCACCTGTGAGCCAGTATGACATCCACGGGATAGGAAAGAGGGAAATAAAGACACAGAGACAGAGCCTTGAGAAAAATTGACTTTTGGGCTGATTTAAACTGCTCTGGGCAGCAAAGATAAAGACACCAAGGACATCCAGGGTTTATTCATTACAAGTGTGGGAAGGGGGAAGCTGGGCTGGCCTTAGGACATCTATTGATAAAAAGTTTCAAACAGGCACGACTGTGGAATATAGGCACAAGGATATCTTTGCTGAAGAGAACAGATTGCTCATTTGTTTGTTTTTTTGAGGCAGGGTCTCACTGTGTAGTTCAAGCTGGCCTTGAACTCACTATGTAGCCCAGGCTGGCCTCATACTCTGGATGATCCCCTTGTCTCAGCCTCCTGAATGTTGAGATTACAGGTGTGTGCTACCACACCTGACTCTTTCTCCTTCTTGGACCCATTTTCTCAGCTACAAAGTAGAGTCGGAGGCTAATCTGGAAGGTGTTGTGGAAATGAAACAGAAGTTGATGCCGTGGAGATAGTGAAATACTGATTCATCCCACATTAGGACTGAGGAAGGATCAAGTTCACCCTTGAGTCCTCATCTCTCAGAATTGGTCAGACTTTGCTTTTGACCCTTCATTCTGCCACTTCATCTACCGGTCGTTTCTTCCCTAAGCCTCAGTTTTCACATCAGGGTGGACAGTGACTCCTGCCTGGAAGCATCACTGCAGGCGGAACTGAGATAACACACCAGCACCAGCCAATCAGCCCCGTGTTTCATGGAAGGCCATCACCTGTTCCCTCTACGCTGCTACTGTGAGAACAGGGTGCAGGAGGAGAGGCCCTAGAAATGTGACTCTCCATCTGAACAGCAGCACTTCTTTCACTGGCAAAGTGAGCGTTGGCTGATGGGGGGCGTGCCTTGTCCCCACTGATTCTGTGGTCTCTGCCTAGCCCTGGGACACATGCAGGTCAGGGAATGCTGGTTGTCAGGGATCTCCTTTCTGCTTGATGTATTGGGAAGACATTGACTAGCTTCTTGCTTCTCTCTCCTGACCTTCCGAAAGGTCTTTTCTTTTCTTGAAAGGATTTTATTTCAAAATAAGCATAATGTTAGGCCAAGAAGAGACTTCCTTTGACTCATAATTTAAACTATTAATGAGGAAAGTACTTTATTTTTTAAGTTTTAGTTTCTTAGTACATACATGAATTACTTTATCCCTTCTCAGTAGTGGTGATAAAGGACATCCTTGTTTGTTCTTGATTTTAGAGGGAAAGCTTTTAGTTTTATTCCCATTTAATACAATCTTGGCAGTCAGTTTGTCAGAAAACATACATATATATTCTTCAGTATTTTTATCGTAAAAGGTTGTTGGATTTTGTCAAAGGTTTTTTGTGTCTACTGAGATAACATGCTTTTTGACCTTGCTTCTATTTATGTGATGTATTACATTTATTTATTTATGTATGTTGAATAATTGCTGCTTCCCTAGGATGAAGCTTACTTGGCAATGATATGATCTTTTCAATAATTAGTTGCATTTTTCCCCGTATTTTTTTGAGGATTTTTAATCTTGTATTCATTAAAAAAGATTGATGTATAGTTGCTTTTTGTGGCCAGAACCTTGTCTGGTTTTGGAATCAGGGTCATGGTAGCTTGCAGGAATGACTTTCAATTTCATTTAAAAATTTGAGGAGTGGTGCTGTTAGAACTTCGCTGAAGTTTTTGTAGAACTCAGCAGTGAACCTGTCTTGATTAGGCTTTTCTTAGTTGATAGGTTATTATTGCTTCAATTTTATTGCCTGTTGTTGCATTACTCAGGGTTTTTAAATCTTCCATGTTAAATTTTGGTAATTCATATATATCTAGGAATCTATTTCTTCTGAATTCTCCAATATATTGGTGTAAATGTTTAAGAAGTAGCTGAGAATCATATTTTTATTTCAGCACTGCCTATTGTACTTTCACCTGTTTCATTTCTAGTAGCATTGATTTGCATCTTTTCTCTCTTTGATTAGATTGGGTTGGGGTTTGTCTACTTTATTTTTTCAAAGAAGCAACTCTTAGATTTATTAATTGTATTTGGGGGTGTCAATTTCATTAATTACTGCTTTGAGTTTTATAATTTTCTTCCTTGTTCTAGCTTTGGGTTTGGAGTGTTCATGTTTTTCTAGGACTTTGAGATACATCATTAGGTAATTTATTTATAATTGCTCTGTTTTTGTGATGTGGACATTGATAGCTATGTGCTGCCTTCATTGTGTCCCCTAAGTTCTGGTATGCTGTACTGGTATATCATTTAGTTATAGAAACTCTTTTATTTCTTCCTTGATTTCTTTTGTAACCCATTGTTAGTTAAGAATATATTGTTTATTTTTCACACATTTGCATAACTTCTGTTTTCTTCTGTCTTTGATGTCTAACTTCATCACTTGATGATATGATAATATGCATGGTATAACTGCAGTTCTTTTACATTTACTTAAGGCTGATTTATTTGCTAGAATGTGTTCTATTTTAGAGAAAGTTCCATGTGCTAGTAAAAAGAATATGCATTCCATTGTTTGGTGAAACATTATAGATATCTATTAAGTCTATTTGTTCTAAAATTTCGTTTAACTTTGATATTCCTTTGTTGATTTTTTTGTATAGTTGACCTGTGATAGTGGGATATTGAGGTCCCCCACTATAATTGTGTTTCTATCAGATCTTTTATGTCCAGCAGTACTTGTTTTATGAAATTATATATGTAAATAATCATTATGCCTTTCTGTTGGATTTTTCCCTTAACCAGTATGCAGTGACTTGCTTTGCCTCTTTTGATCAATTTTGGCTTGAATATAAGATAGCTTTGTCTGAATTTAAGACAGCTATACCTGCTTTTTTCCAGGTTCTTGTTAC